AAATCAATTGCAAGAAGAACATACAAAGACATTTGAACACATAGAAGCTAAATAGCATGTTATTAAACAATAAATGGGTTATTGAGGAGATCAAGGAAGAAATTAAAAATTTTCTGGAAACAAATGAAAATGAAGACACAACACAAAATCTATGGGATGCAGCGAAAGCAGTTCTGAGAGGGAAGTTCATAGCACTACAGGCCTACCTCAAAAAACAAGAAAAATCTCTAATGGACTATCTAAGCTCACAATTTAAAGAACTAGAGAGCAAACAAAAAGAAAACCCCAGAGCAAGTAGAAGGAAGGAAATAGTAAAGATCAGAGCAGAAATAAACGACATAGAGACAAAATAAAAAACAAAACACTTCAAAGGATCAATGAAACAAAGAGCTGGTTTTTCAAAAAGATAGACAAGATTGATAGACCCTTAGCTAGACTCACCAAGAAACAAAGAGAGAGAACCCAAATACACAAAATCAGAAATGAAAGAGGAGAAGTAACAACTGACACCACAGAAATACAAAAGATCGTTAACAACTGCTATTAACAATTATATGGCAACAAATTCTACAATCTAAGGGAAATGGACAAATTTCTAGAAACATATACTCTCCCAACACTGGACTAGGAGTCCAGGCCGTATGGCTTCACGGGGGAGTTTTACCGAACATTCAAAGAAGAACTAACACCCTTTCTCCTCAAACTATTTAAAAAACTTCAAGAAGAAGAAAGACTTCCAAACTCATTTTATGAAGCCAGCATAATTCTAATTCCAAAACCAGAAAAAGACAATACAAAGAAAGAAAACTACAGGCCAATATCCCTGATGAACATAGACGCCAAAATCCTGAACAAAATACTAGCAAATCGGATCCAGCAGTACACCAAAAAAATTATCCACCATGACCAAGTGGGATTCATCCCAGAGATGCAAGGTTGATACAATATTCACAAATCAATAAACGTGATACACCACATAAATAAAATGAAGAATAAAAACCACATGCTCATATCAATAGATGCCGAAAAAGGCTTCGACAAAATCCAGCATCCATTTCTGATAAAAACGCTCAGCAATGTGGGAATAGAGGGATCATATCTCGACATAATAAAGGCCATATATGAAAGACCTACAGCCAGCATCATACTCAATGGGCAAAAACTAAAAGCATTTTCCTTAAGAACAGGAACAAGGCAAGGATGCCCACTTTCGCCACTCTTATTTAGCATAGTACTGGAAGTCTGAGCCACAACAACCAGACAGGAAGAAAAAATAAAAGGGATCCAAATTGGAAAGGAGGAAGTGAAACTGTCATTATTTGCAGATGACATGATACTATATGTAGAAAACCCCAAAGACTCCATCAAAAATCTACTCGACTTAAATGAATTTGGAAAAGTAGCAGGATACAATATTAACATCAAGAAATCGATGGCATTCTTATACACCAATGATGAACTCACAGAAAGAGAAACTAAGAAAACAATCCCATTTACCATTGTGGCAAAAAAATTAAGATACCTAGGAATAAACTTAACCAAAGAAATAAAGGACCTATTCGCAGAAAACTACAGGTCATTGCAAAAAGAACTAGAGGAAGATATAAAAAAGTGGAAGCACATACCTTGTTCATGGATTGGAAGAATTAACATCATTAAAATGTTCATATTACCCAAAGCAATCTATAGATTCAATGCAATCCCCATCAAAATACCAACAGCATACTTCACAGAATTAGAACAAGTACTTCAAAAGTTCATATGGAACCTCAAATAGCCACAGCAATCTTGAAAAAGAAGAACAAAGTTGGCTGGATCACATTACCAGATTTCAGGTTATACTACAAAGCCACTGTAATAAAAAACAGCCTGGTATTTGCACAAGAACAGGCATACAGACCAGTGGAACAGAACAGAGAACCCAGAAATGGACCCAAGGCAATATGCTCAATATTTGACAAAGGTGGCAAGAGCATACAATGGAATAAGGACAGCCTCTTTAATAAATGGTGCTGGGAAAATTGGACAGCTACATGCAGAAAAATGAAACTAGACCATCAACTTACACCATACACAAGAATAAACTCAAAATGGATAAAAGACTTAAATGTGACTCATGAATCCATAAAAATCTTAGAAGAAACTGTAGGCAACAAAATTTCAGACATCATACGCAGCAGAATTTTCACCGATACATCACCCAAGGCAATAGAAATAAAGGCGAAAATGAACACATAGGACTACATCAAACTCAAAAGCTTCTGCACAGCGAAAAATACAATCATCAAAACGGAAAGGCTACCCACTGTATGGAAGAGCATAATTGCCAATGATATATCAGATAAGGGGTTAATTTCCAATATATATACAGTGCTCATACAACTCCACAAAAGGAAGACAAAGAACCCAATTGAAAAATGGGTAGACACCTCTCCAAACAGGACATACAAATGGTAAGAGGCATATGAAGAAATGCTCAACATCACTAATCATCAGAGAGATGCAAATGAAAACAACAATGAGGTATCACCTCACACCTGTCAGAATGGCCGCCATCAACAAATCATCAAACAACAAGTGTTGGCCAGGGTGTGGAGAAAAGGGGACTCTAGGACACTGCTGGTGGGAATGCAGACTGGTGTAGCCACTATGGAAAACAATATGGTGTTACCTCAAAAAATTAAAAATTGAACTTCCATTTGACCCAGTGATCCACTTCTAGGAATATACCCTAAGAAGCCTGAAACACCAATCAGAAAGAATATATGTACCCCCATGTTTGTAGCAGCACTATTTACAAGAGCTAAGATCTGGAAACAGCCCAAGTGTCCATCAGTAGACGAATGGATAAAAAAGCAGTGGTACATATACACAATGGAGTACTACACAGGTGTAAGAAAGAAAGATCTCTTATCCTTTGAGACTACATGGAGGGACCTGGAAAGTATCATCCTAAGTGAAACAAGCCAAACAGAGAAAGACAAGTATCATATGATCTCACTTATTTGTGGAATATAATGAGCATAACAGTCTGAGGAATGGGGTAGTCCCAGAGACGTGGAAGTGGGGTACAGACTGACAATCCCCAGAAGAGGGGGTGGTGGGGGAGAGATAAACCACAGAACTTATATGCATGTATGCATAAACAATGGACATGGACAACAAAGCTGGGGACAGGGCAGGGAGGGATGGGGAGGGTGGAATCAGTGGGGTAAAGAGGAGAAACATCTGTAACAAAAATTAATTAATAAAAAAAAGAAAAGAAAAAAAACCTAACAAGAAAAAAAAAAAAGAGAGAGAAAACAAAGACATGAAAGTTGGAGAAAGAATTTCCACTATTTCACCCAGCTGGTGTGACACAGAGGACTGAGGGATTACGAATGTTGTCCCATGGACTGAGGTCCCTGTTGGATTCCCGATCAGGACACATGCCCCAGATTGCAGGAAAGGGGCGTGCAGGAGGCAGCTGATGGATGTTTCTCTCACATCAATTTTTCTCTCTCTCCGTTCCTCTTTCTCTAAAAATCAATAAAAACGTATTTAAAAAAGAATTACAACTATTTCTGTTTGCAGTGATATAAATATAGCTGCAGGAGTCAAAAGAATCAATGAAAAAAAACCCTATAATATAGAAAATTCAGTGAGGCACCAGGCTAAAAAGTAATACAAAAAACAATTTTCTCATATACAATAGAAAAGATAATGAAAGAAAATGTTTACCTAGATAAAATAACTAGGAATATCGTAAACATGAAATGTGCAAATTTTATATAAAGAAAACTTTAAAACACTCCTCAAAAGGAAAAAAAGTAATTCAGCAAGTATATAGCATGTACTTGGATAGGAGAACTAAATCAATATGCAAATGTTAATTTACCACAAGGTAAATGCAATATGACTGAAGGGAACCAGGGTATGCCATCCCAAAATGTGCCACTCTGGCATGTGAATTATTTTGAGTTGAAGGAAATTGAGACTCAAACAATTCAGAAAAACTTACTCTCCCTTAACGCCTAAAAGAATCTAAATAGAGCGCCTGGCATAAGAGAGAGCAATAACCAGAGGTACCTTTTTTATTCAAAACACTTAACCTGTGTGGCAGGGCCAACATCTGATTACCAAACATCTGCTCTCCTTATCTGCCTCTTTGAAGTCCCAGACCTCCTTCCCATTCCTGAGCTCAGGGTGGCAATCAGCCTCAATTACCTGGCTTCCTTTGGCAGATTCTTTGGCTAATATAAAAAACAAATTGAGCCCTGGCCGCTTTGGCTCAGCGGTTAGAGCATTGGCCTGTGGTCCCAAGAGACCTGGGTTCCTTCCCGCTAAGGGCGTGTACCTCGGTTGCAGTTTGTCCCCGGCCCTGGTTGATTGTGCGGGTGGCAGCCACTCGATATGTCCCTTTCAGGTCGATGTTTCTCTCTCTTTGTTTCTCTCTCTCCCTCCCACTCTACCTGAACAAAGAATGGAAAAATGTCCTCAGGTGAGGATAAAAAAAAAAAAATTAATTGACTTGATAGCTTAATTTAATTTCAAACTATAGGAGCTCCAAAGATATGAAACTTCAGGGCAAGTCAGGATTTCATAGCATTTGTGTGTCTAGAGGCTCATTCACAGGGGCCAGAATATTGGAAGGACACAGAGGGTCGCGTAGGCTTTGCTCCTTTTAAATGTGTTCTGCGCTGTCAAAACTGTCACCGAGGGCATAATTTACGGTTTCTACAAAATTACAACTACACGCTGGTGGGGCCGCGCACTGCAGTCTCCTGACTGAAAACCTCGGCTCCGCCGGGCCTTGGAGTCCAGTCCCTGGGGCTCGGTGGGCGAGGGGACGGCCACTAGGGGCAGAGGGGACGCGGCCCCTCCCGCAGGGGAGCGTGTCCGGCGCCGCCGGCTGGGGTTGCGAGCGAAGTGCACCTGGGTACTGCCGGGACCTGCCGCCTCCTGCCGCCACCGCCCAGGGCCGCTGGCTCGCTGCCCGGCTCCGCCCGCCTCCCGGCGCCACCGCTATTTGAGGCCGGGAGTGGCTCCGACGCTCAGCCGCTGCTCCGCTCACTCTGGCTGCATCGCCGACACCGCGAGGTACGAGCCTGCTGTGGGACCCACTGCGAGGCCAGGCGAGCGGGGGCGGAGGGCGCCCGGGCCGCGCAGAGCGGTCCTGGGATGGGGGTTGGGAGCGCTACCGGCTCGGGTTCCCCCGAAGAGCCAGCGGCAGCCGCGGACGGTGACGCAGGAGCTGTTCGTGGCCGCCGCCCGGCCGCTGACGCCGCGCACCGTTCGGACCCGGAACGTAAAGCGCCGGGCCCGCAGGGGAGTGGCCGGTGGGCATGGGGGCGGCGCCGAGCCTCCCCGGCTGCTGCGCGGAGCCCCTAGGCCACAGGTGACGCCCGCCCCTCCCTGGACCGCAGGTCACCCTCCTGCTCCTCGACCGGGGTGACCCCGCCCACCTCGCGGCCTCGGCGACGGGCGCTCGGAGCCGGCGCTGGTCGTTGGGACCCGGGAGGGTGGAGGTATGGGGGGCCCGATACGGACTGGTGAAGGGTGGCCTAGGGCTGGGGCGTGCGGAGAAGGGAGGGTGGCCTAGGGCTGGGGCGTGCGGAGAAGGGAGGGGGTGGCCTGGGGCTGGGGCGTGCGGAGAAGGGAGGGTGCCCTAGGGCTGGGGCGTGCGGAGAAGGGAGGGGGTGCCCTGGGGCTGGGGCTTGCGGAGAAGGGAGGGGGTGGCCTGGGCTGGGGCTTGCGGAGAAGGGAGGGGGTGGCCTGGGGCTGGGGCGTGCGGAGAAGGGAGGGTGGCCTGGGCTGGGGCTTGCGGAGAAGGGAGGGGGTGGCCTGGGCTGGGGCTTGCGGAGAAGGGAGGGGGTGGCCTAGGGCTGGGGCGTGCGGAGAAGAGGGTGCCCTAGGGCTGGGGCGTGCGGAGAAGGGAGGGGGTGGCCTGGGCTGGGGCGTGCGGAGAAGGGAGGGTGGCCTAGGGCTGGGGCGTGCGGAGAAGGGAGGGTGCCCTAGGGCTGGGGCGTGCGGAGAAGGAGGGGGTGCCCTGGGCTGGGGCGTGCGGAGAAGGGAGGGGGTGGCCTGGGGCTGGGGCTGGGGGTGCGGAGAATGGTGAGGGGGTGGCTGGGCTGGGCGTGCGGAGAGGAGGAGTGGGCCTAGGGCTGGGGCGTGAGGAGAAAGAAGAGGGGTTGCCCTAGGGCTGGAGCGTGCGGGAGAAGGGAGGGGGTTGCCCGTGGCTGGGCGCTGTGCGGAGAAGGGATGGGTGTTGCTGGGGGGGGCGTGCGGAGAAGGGAGGGGTTGGCTGGCTGGGCTTGAGGAGAATGGAGGGTGGCCTGGGGATGGGCGTGCGGAGAAGGGAGGGTGGCCTGGGGGACTGGGGCGGCGGAGAAGGAAGAGGGGGGGGTTGCCTAGGGCTGGGGCGGCGGAGAAGGGAGGGTTGCCCTAGGGATGGTGTGTGCGCGAAGAAGAAGAGGAAGGAGGGGTGCCATGGGGCTGGGGCTTGCGGAGAAGGGAGGGGGTGCCCTGGGGCTGGGGCGTGCGGAGAAGGGAGGAGGTGGCCTAGGCTGGGGTGTGCGGAGAAGGGGAGGGGTCGTTGCCGGAAGAGGCCGGCTCGCGCTCCAGGCTCCTAGGCGCCTGGGCTTGCCCACCGTGTGTGGCTTTGGCCGGGAACTTGGCGAATTCCGCCCCACCGTCCAGGTCACTCAGGCCGTGTAGATAAAAGTGAGGACCTTTCCAGATCTTGTTATTTCTGTCTTTTATTAAGCTTACCGTGGGCAAAAATGACTATATTTGGTGTCTTCAGGGCTAAGAAGGCCTGGGGAAACTTTTAATCATACTTGAGGTTTGAGGTGCTAGAAGTAATGGACACTTAAGCTACTTTCTTTCCCATCCTGCCCCTCCACTCCAAACTCAGCTTTGAAAAGGAGAGGTCTAGCCAATTAAATTCAGATGCCGCCAAGAATACTCAGATGCTAGCGGAAGCTGGGTCAGGGCTGGGACCTGTGTTTTCTGGGTCCAGTTGTAGCTGATGACAGGGATATGAGCTAGGGCTGCCTGTTCTTCCCCTGTGTGGTTTAGGACTGATGTGGTGAGATGAGGATATGAAAATACCCTTTGGATTAAAGTCCTGCGGTGTTGTATTGCTGGGGCTAAGTAATGTGCACTGTGATAACACAAGTGACTGCTTTTATCAGTATTATGGGGTTTGTAAAAGGTCTGAGCCAGTGGGAGATCACATCCACAACACAAGTCCAATGTAGAGCAAAACAATTTTATTGCATGCACCTGGGTGCAGGTGGGCTGGCTCCGAAAAGGGGTCAGCCTTGAATAACAGTTGGGGTGTAGGTTATATACTCTGCTTCTAGCTTCCGGCAGTTCCTGCTGAGTACTCTACCTGGCCCATTATCCACTTTGCAGTTGGATTGGTCAGGTATCACACCCTGCATCTGCTGGGTGATTCACTGTCTTGCCGATAATCCATAATCCATAGTCAACAGAAGACTGAGCAAAGGTCATGCAAGCAATGCATTTTCCAGTTTCCACTTTTTGCAAGCTTTTACCTCTACCCTTTAAAACATTACTTACCCTGCCTGGCCAATGTGGCTCGGTGGTTGAGCATTGACCCATGCACCAAAAAGTCGCCGGTTTGATTCCCGGTTAGGACACATGCCCAGATTATGGGACCGATCCCCAGTGGGGGGCATGCTGGAAGCGGCCAATTGATGTTCTCTCTCCTCGATGTTTCTATCTCTCTCCCTCTCCCTTCCTCTCTCTCTCTAAAATCAATAAAGAAAAAAAATTAAAATAATAGAAAATAAAACGTTACTAACCCTTTCAGTGTGTCCCAGTATTTCATGATTAATGAGTAATTATATCCTTCACTTTATGCCAACACAGAGAGAAAGGGTGCAATTTTAGTCATACTTGGGGCCAGTAGACCAAATATTTAAAATGATATGAGGCCAATTCCAATCCAAAGCATTTCCTTGAAATTCAGCATATTAGAGATCACTCCAGTAGTAGAGTGCAATTAGAATGAATGGAATCACCATTGTCTATACCAGCGATTTTCAACCAGTGTGTTGCAAGAATTTCTAAATCATATTAGTCAGGGGCACTGACATCTTTTCCCTTAGAATGTCAAAAATGACAACGGCCAACACAATAATAACCCTCTAGTGTGAATGCCCTGTCTTGAACCATAAATATATAGGTCATATAATGGCATAAGAAAGTTGCATCTGATTGGTTAATTCTTGGTACCAGAAGTTCTTATATATAAGTACAGCGGAACCTTAGTGCTCAAACTGAATTCATTTCAGAAGGCTGTTTGAGAAGTGATTTGTTTGAAAACAAATCATTTTTTCCCATTAGAAATAATGTAAATTGAATTAATTCATTCCAGACCCTCAAATGATTTCCTGTTTTAACTTATATATAATACATGTCTAATGTACTGTTTAATTTATAATCAAAGACTGCTTTTCTTAAATTTATCAAACCACCCCCTCTTAGCCTTAAATGAATCACTTTCAACACTCCTTCCAGGGGTCTTTCAGGAGGTCAGTATGCAGCATCTTTGCTTTTTCATGTATTGTGTCCTAGAAAATGCTGTCATTGACTAACTGCTTTTAGTTTATACAAATCAGCAACAGTTTTTCTACCTCTTCAGTTGCCAGTGATCATTGTTTCTTTCACACCCTTAATAATATTAGCACTTTTGATGGCTTATTTCTGTTTTTAAATTGTGCTAATTGTCCCTTTTGCCAGTAACAAAAGCAAAAAACAACACAAAAAAGCCGAAACCAAACAAACAAAAAACCCCACAAAAATATACACAGCAGTTTCCTGAGGCAAGGTTTAGTTGTAAACTGACTCATAATGGTGAGTTCTCTCCTTTGTTCATGTTAGGTATCAGCATGAAAAGCTTGTCAGGGCAGGAACCGAAGTTGAACCCAAGTTAACCATGACATTTTTTCCATGAGCAACTTGGTCAAGAACTGAATTGTTCAAAATGAGAGACGCCCAACTGAGGTTTTACTGTATAGGCACCTGATTTAAAAAAAATTTTTTTAATCCTCACCCGAGGATATTTTTCTCTTTATCTTCAGGTAGAGAGAGAGGGAGAGAAATGGAGAGAGAGAAACATCGACATGAGAGGGACACATCGACTAGTTGCCTCCTGCACAACCCTGACCAGGGCCAGGGATGAACTGCAACCGAGGTACGTACCCTTGGCTATAATCAAACCCGCGACTTGGGCCTGGCCGGTGTGGCTCAGTGGTTGAGCATCGACCCATGCACCAAGAGATTGCTGGTTCGATTCCCAGTCAGGGCACATGCCCAGGTTGTGGGCCTGATCCCCAATGCGGGGCATGCAGGAGGCGACCTGTCGATGTTCTCCTCGATGTTTCTATCTCTCTCTCCCTCTCTCTCTAAAATCAATAAAGAAAAAAAATACAAAACAAAACCCGGGACTCATTGGTCTGTGGGCCAAACCTGATTTTTTAAAAAAAGTCACTTTGGATTAAAAAGGGCAGGTAATTACTATCATTACTATTTTTTTTTTTTTTGCAATTCAATCAAAATGATACCTATATTTTTTGTCACAAGAGCAAAAAAGTATTTTTTATTGATTTTTTTAGAGAGAGGAAGGGAGAGAAACATCTATGTGAGAGAAAAACATCAATCGGCTGCTTCCTGCACGCCCCCTACTGGGGATCAAGCCCACAACCCAGGCACATGCCTTGACTGGAAATTGAACTGGGACCTCTCAGTTCGTGGGAGGATGCTCAATCCACTGAGCCACACCTGCCGGGCGCAAAAATAAAATATTTTGGTGTGCTGCAGAATTTTAGTGATTAGTTTGTGTGTGCCATGAGATGAGAAAGGTTGAAAATCGCTGGTTTATACTAAGAACACCTTATCTCACACCAAAAATATATTGTATGATCCCTGGATAATCACACACCTTGCATTCCCAAGTTTGCTGGACCTGAGATTAAACCTAGACATCAGAAGAAAGAAAATAATGTATAATTAACCTACCATTTATTGACTACCCATTGTGTGCCAGGCATTAGTTTATTTAATGTTTA